TGCCCAGACTGTTGCACTTCCAGCAGAAGAAAAAAAATAACGTGACCCACAACTTGATACAATTTATCAGTAAATATGCAAGAATAATTTCCATGCATGTTCTTAGTCCTGAGAACACTGATAATGTGCAGGAACTCTTCATTGTACAGAACCCACAGAATGTGAGCCAAGTCTTCACAAAAGGAGTTGGCTTCACAGTTATATTTTTTTGCACACTAAGCCAAGTGAAAAGATCTACAGTGCAAACAGATGAAGTGCAACTAGCAGATAAACTAAAAACACACTTTACAGAACCCTCTAAAAGCAAAGAAAATGAGCAAGATTCAGAATATACATGGCATTTATATTTGATGGTTGTTTAAGGTGTCACCGCTCAGCATCCCAAGCAGAATCATTACTTAATGTTAGAATTTCTGCTGCAAGGATAAGGCAGTGTCCTTTCTGTTACCCTTTAACCATTTGCATATTCTAAAAAATTAAAGGCAGAGATGCTAGAGCATCCATCACTGCATGAAAGTAGGTCATCACCATCCATGCAAAATGTGGCTGCTTTCAATATTGTTGGTTGTCTCTGAGCATTACAAACATACTTCATATTATATATGGCAATAAACAGACTCTTATACTAAAACCTCCAGCCTTGAAGTTACTAAAGCAAGACTCTTATACTAAAATCTACAGCCTTCAAGTTACTGAAGCAAGACTCTTATACTAAAATCTCCAACCTTCAAGTTACTGAAGTAATGCTTCATGACAAAAATAGTTGCAATCAAGCTGTTCAACAGCTACAAAAATGAAAGACAACAGTAATTATACTGAATAAAATTTTTGAAATTAGTGCAGTCAAGTGCAACAAGAGTAAAGTTTCAATAATATATCTTGAAAGCACGAGGACCGGGCCAAAGGTGGGGTACAGAAGTGAGATGTCATGAAGGCATTAAGTTAACAAGTCCTACATGATGGCTGCTCTTATCAGTTGAAGGGGGGGGGGGGGGGGTGGATAGGCAAAATACGTAATGTATTTTAGACTGTGGTTGCATATGAGCACAGTAGCATGTGGAACTATGAAACATGAGGCACTTATGTGAGTGTCTTCCGTTTGCCCTACTAACTCCATAGAAAGCACACCAACCATAAAAACTTATTTTCAATAAAAGAGTCTGCATATAGCAGCTAGTAGTATAAGTTTTTGCTTGATGCCCTTGCATAACACTCTTTTATGTACAGGTTTACACACAAACTGCAGAACAACAAAGTGGTTGCCAGCAGGTAGGCATTAGCTGGGGGAGGAAGAGCACCAAGCAGACCCTTCCTCCCCCAGCCCCCACAGCATCATGAAAAGCACACGGGTGAACTTGGTGCAAGGAGAGAAGGCCCATAATAAATAGCTGTGCACACACAAATAGACAAAACCAGAGTAACACATTGTCAGCCAAAGGGAACACACTGAGTGATACAGCTATTAAACAAAAGAAAGCAAGCAAAAGGCAATTTGCAATAAACTACATGTAAAGTGACAGACACACAGCACAAAGCTGACTGTGTAGCGTAGTACCTCACTTAGCACAAAGGGAAAACAAAACACAAAAAATGAACAAGAATGAAGCACCCAATGAAAGGGAGCCTGAATTTAGAAGTACGCACAAAACAACCCTAGCAAACACTGGCCCACCACTTGTAGGCAACGCTTTGCCCAGTCCGCCTTGAAAGTCCTATAAACTGGTATTCTGTCTACCTAGCCTGATGTTCAGTGTCCGCACGTCGATAGAAGAGTAGATAGGGCACAAGAGATGAGTTCTCAAAGCGCAGCAGGTCACCTTGGGCAATGGGAGAGACATTGTCGTCATCACAGCGAAACCATCTGCGTCCTGCTGGGTGGAAGGCATCAGTCACGTAATGACCTTTGTCGGTGCGCTCCCCACTATGGCTTAATACTGAAATGAAACAAAAAACAGATTAGAACACCCACCAACCACTGGAGCAAAAAGACCAATAATTTAACCTTACCTGCAAACAGAATATAGCAGCGCTGCTTATTTGACCACCTTTCACTGGATGGCACCAATTCTAAAACAACATGCACGGGTGAGACAAAACAAATGCATGGCTTTTTCACAGTACTTACTGCGATCAAGCTGAAGCTGATGAGGTATGTGTATGGAATTCATAAGCTTTTTGCAGCCACCATGCTTGTCATACACAAAACGTTTTAGATGAAGAATAAGCACCAGCGGTAATTTTTCCAATGTAGTTCTACGCAAAGCATCAACCTGGAAAGAGACAATTACATTTTCTTACCATGGAATTGCTGGGACCAAAAGAAAATGGCACAACAACAACAACAAAAAATAAGTTCCACTCTTGTGAGAAAAAAGTTTTCAAAGACAGTTTTTAGGCCACAATAAAAAAAATACAGAAAATCAAGTTGTCCTGTCAGGAATGTGAATTCAAACTGTATGCCTAATTTGCTTGCAACTAAGTGATTATACCATTAAACCATAATATTACAATGTTGGTAAACATAGCTACAACTTTATTCCAAGAAAAACTGAAGTATTCGGGGGTAGTCTAGCTACACAACAATAATTGTCATCTGACTTGCTTTCGTTTCCCTTCTTGAAAACCTGGCGCTGACTGGTTTCCTGTCAGGAATGCTATGTCATACTGATTACGCACGCGTCATTTACCACCGTGAAATACTGAAACCGTACTGATAATGCAAGGAGAGTAAAGTAGATGATGATCATAATTGTGTAGCAGAAAAACACCACCAAAATACTAGGTGTTTTTGTTAGTGCTGACCTTTCATGCAAACTACACCTTTTCCATCAAAAGGGTACCTCCTTTCTGAACAGCTGTATGGGCACACAAAGGCTGACAATGTGCCATGGAGACATGCCCTTTCCGCACAGTCTCTTCGCATTGAGAGCACAGCACGTAGAAAGGTTTACAAGTGTAAAGGTGATATTTTTATTTGGGCTAACTTGTGCCCGGAAAATGAAGCATCACACTTCAAGCAATACACACTGTAGACTGATAGCGAACATGGAGCGTCAGCCGTGGATAATCTGCCACGCAACGAAGTGCGACGACATTTACACATGTGCCATCGAAGCTTCCAGCAATATTGCTAGCAGCCGCTATGTTTCAAACTGTAATGTGCGCATTGTGTGCGTAACCTCATCATAAAGTTCTAAGATTATCTCGATAGTCCCCAGTCATTTGGGCGTGGTTTGCACAAGGCAGCATTACATGGGTAATGACGTGGTAACAAAAATAAAAAGAAGCCTGTGCGGCGGCACCACTACAACATTACAAATTGTTACTATTGCAATCATCGCTATGCCCGTGACACCATTTTTTATTTTTCTGTTTAGCGTAATTACTCGAATCTAACGCGCACCTTTTTTCCGGTTAAGCGAGTTCATAACTCGCATGCGCGTTAAAATCGAGTGCGAAAACAAAATGAACACGGTCATCCTATTGCCATCTGCATTTCCAAAATGGCCCCCCTACGTGCTTCGGCATGGCGCATCGGCCATTTCTACCTATGTGTTTCCCATGTGCGGTACTTCGTACGTGTGCCGAAGAGTTGGTTATCTTGTAGTTCATTAGCATCAACGGCATGGAAGGGGCGACTCTAAAAACTCGACGAGTGCACCACAATGCCGCTTTTAAAAGAAAAGTAATCGCATGTGCCGAACAGGCGGAAATCGGGCCGCATCGCGGTCGTTCAGAGTTCCCAAAACGTGCGTGCGGGACTGGCGGAAACAAAAGCAGAAAATTGTCGAAAGCAAAGATTCACCCAAAGGCTTCAGTGGACCACATCATGGTCGGTTTCCGTAAATGGACAAGCTGCTCGCCGAGTATGTGCTTGAGCAGTGAGCGGCACAGCGGCTGGTGACGACAGAACTGCTCTAAGTGCGGGCAATGCAGTTAGTTAGCTTTAGAAAAAGGGCTAACGCGGAGCCAGTTCAAAGCGAGCAGGTGCTGGCTAACTAACTTTATGAAGAGGAAAGGCTTTTCCCTCTGAAAGCGAACGAGCATGGGCCAAAACTTGCCGAAGGAGTATGAAGAAAAGCTTCACAGTTTTCACAGGTTCGTCCTACCTTGCGGCACAACAACGGCTACCTGCTTGGGCAAATCGGGAATGCCGATCAGACGCCTCTTTACTTCGACATGCCTAGCACCACAACCATCGAGAAGGGGGCGAAGCAAGCTCGAATGCTGACATCGGGCCACGGTAAAACAAGAGTGACGGCAACGCTCCGTTGCACGTCGGATAGGCACAAGCTTCCCCCGTACTTCATATTTAAACGGAAGACGCTCCCGAAAGGAGTCGTTTTCTCAAGTAGTGTGATCGTGCGGGCCAACGGAAAAAATGGGTGTGCGTTGCAATCGATGTCTTACTTTTTTTTTCGTCGTGAAAACCGAGGGTGCAGTAGAATCGAGTAAATACGGTATGACGAAAAACTTGCCGCACCGTCACCATGCAACTACCCAGCTGTTAAAACATATATAGACTCACATAATGAGGCATGCACACTAATTCTACCTTAACAAGAATCATGGATTGTGTTCACTAGCGAAGGATTCATGCATGATCTGTAATAAGATGTTCGATATGGTCGGAAAATTTCAATAATATGTGGGGTTCCAAAACCGATATGGACGCAAAATTTTAATAATATGTACAGTTCCGAAACGTCCCAAAACTACCATATGATTATGAGAGACGCCATAGTGAAGGGCTCCGGAAATTTCAACCACCTGGGTTTAATGTGCACCGAAAGCTGAGCCCACGGGCCTAGAGCACTTTCACCTCCATCGAAAATGCAGCCACTGTAGCCAAGATTCGACCCCGTAAACTGCGGGTCAGCACTAGACCATCGTGGTGGAGCAATGCAGAATTTTATATGGACGTGGTTGCGTCCTTTGTGTAGCCCACGCGTGTTGCTCAGTCGATGACAATACTCTGGACTGAATTTGGCGTTGCACGTGCAAATCGCCAGCGCGGCTCAGCGCAGCATGACGCAATGGGCCCAGCACTTCCACCCCTGTATACAAGCTAATGCCTTCAGAGAATGCCTTCAGAGATAAAGTGCACACATGCACCAGCGAACGCGACTGAACCTTTACTATCAGTTCACAGTTGCTCCTCAAGCAGCCTCAAGGGAGGAGGGGAAAGAGGGAACCCAAAACTATAGCCCTTTCCATGAAGCCTAAAACACAATGTTTAGGCCACATTTTAGGGCACGGTCATGATGGCTGTCACACCTCGCAGCCTAACTCGGGTGCTACGGCACAATATGGTGTTGATAAATGAGTTTGGGGCAACAAGTGTGGTCGGCGCAGGATGACACTGATAAACAAGTTTCGGGCAACTGATAAACAAGCTTGGGGCAAAATAGCGCATATGGCGACGCTATTGCACTCCTGCATGCAAAATGAGTTCGAAAAAAACTTGGACCAGATTGGATTAGACTTCTAACAATCTGGCCAGATAACGCACTGAAATTTTGCCGGGAGAATCTCTTGCCAACTGTACAATCGTATGAAATGGTTCAAGTCCAGAAGACTTGGTAGGTATGTGTGTAAATATTAAAAACTACAGCCTCAGGTTATAATTCCATTAGCCACTTTGCCAACTTAAGATTTTGTATGTGCCCAGAAGGGGTGTGGCTTCTATCCCTTGTGCAGGCCCTTTGAAGAATCACTAAATAAATTTAAAAGCCCTGGTTGACAGTGATTTCCAAAAGTCTGCACAATCTTCATTATCCCACTGGGAATGGACATGAAGTTCTAAATGGTTACCCAGCATGCTGCCACTGAACCCGTTTAGTTTACCCTTGTTGACAGCCATTTTCAAGAACACATGCCTAAAACCTGCACATAATGAACCATAACACCCCTTTTCAATAAGCAGAAATTGAGGTACAGTAGAGCCCGACTATATCGAACCCGTTTATATCAAATTATCCCGTATATCGAACAATTACTAAACAAGGTAAGTTTACATTGAGATTATATAGCAAAAGTTGTTTTATTGAACAAAAATAGCAACGCCGACTGATATATCGAACTCCACGTAACTCAAAAGTGCCCCCGCAAGTTGGCTTTCCTTCGCGGTGGTGGGGAAAACTGCCGGCGCCTCCCTAGAAAAAGTTGGTTAGACCCGGTTGTGCACGGGCGAACACCCCCCTACAAGAAATAATCCTGACTCGCTCATAGCGCTTACAGCCAATCAGAGGCAGTCGTGCTTTATCCAAGGCGCAGAGGCGGTAAAAGTGAGTGCCATTTTTTCTTTATGCCCGAGTGCCTGCAGTTGCCTGTTTTCCTCGAGTCCTTATACAATGTGGTCTGTGCTGGTGGTGTTCCTCGTTGCTCTGTGAACTGTGTTGGCGCTCTGTCATCATGGCTTGCGCAAAGGCAGAATAAGCCGTTCAGCGCGAAACTCGAAATCAGAAATTGGGTCGAGCGCGGTGAAAAGAAGTCCGACGTCGCCGCCGCGTACAAAATTCCTAGGAGCACCTAGAGTACTATCCTGAAGAACAAGGCAGACATCACAGGGCAAGTCGGACAAAAGGCCAGGTGCCCGTAGCACCCGACGTGTGCGCACTGCTGTGTACGAAAATGTTGAAGCGGCCGTTTACAAGTGTTCCCGGGTGCTGTCAACGGATCGACATTCGACGAGTTCGTCAAGACGGACGATGATGTTGCCATCACGGGTCAGCTGCAAGATGAGGACTACATTGCAGACGTCATGCCGACCACAAGCCGAAGCAACAGCAATAAGGAAATGGACGATGCCCCATTGCCTACATCCTCCGAGTTGATTAGTGCACTTGCGTTGGTCCGGCGCTATTGCGTGAACGTGGAAGGTTGCGGCCTCAGCTGCTCCGACTCGTTGGACAACGTGGAGGCGTGAGTGCTGTCGCAGGCAGCGAAGTCGTTGACCCAGAAGAAAATCCGGGACTATTTTGTACCACAGTAGGGGTCGCAGGTAAGCCGCCATATTAAGGGGAGATGCGAGTCGAAAAATCGCGTCTTTAGCGAAATTTCTCGTATTTCTGATTTTTATTGCATTGTAATCTTCAAACCTTCTTTCATCTGTGAAAATTTCAAAACTAAATTCGAACCGCAAAATGCAAAAAAAATGTGTATGAAGGCATCGCAGTGGCTCAAAATTTCGTGAATTTGCGCCGATATTGGCCATCTTTGACTGCGCGCTGCTCCCCGTTGCAGTGCCGCCCGCCATCGCGATTGGTTGGGAAAGTTGCGTCCGGCCTTCTTCTTACAGCTCCGACGACCGCCAGTTTCGTTCGTGGGCAAAAAAATAAAAATAAAAACGAGGCCTTTTTATCACGTGGTTTGAGCGGTTTGCAACGCGCGGCACCCTAAGCCGCATCGCCATTGGCTACCGAGTCATTGTCAGCTGTGTTAGTGGCGGCCATCGGCATTTGGTCCGTCTGCTTTTCTGCGCGTCGACGCATATTTCCGCGATGACAAGCCCGAAAAAGTGCAACGTGAGACCGCAGAAGTTTCGAACGAAGCACAAGTTCAAGGGAAGGCGGCGTAAAGCGCCCCGAACAACGGCGACGAACGAGAACACGCCTACGTGTGCTAGGCCTGACGGCGGCATCGACGAGTGCGCGAGCGACAGTGGCTGCGATGAAGGGATTGACGCTGCGCTTTCTTTCGTCAGTGCTTCGGAAAAGAAGCTCGGCTTCTTCGAAAAAGACGAAAGACAGCGCGATGAGGTTTGTGCAACGACACTTTTGTGCGACACCCTCTTGCTGACGGCACTTATGGCAGGTGCGGCATGCCCTGCTTGCGGTATTCAAAAACTAGCCGTTCGGGAGCCGGCAGAGAAGCGCAAGGAACTTCCGTCGCTCCTCGAACTTCATTGCGAAAACAGCGAATGCTCAGCGACTGTTCTTTCGTGCTCCTATACGTCACTGCGTGTTATGGCGGACGGCAGCAGCCGAGTGAGCCAACGGTACGACAGTGGGAGCTCCCGAGATAGTTTTGCTGTAAATGTGAAGGTGGTGGTGGCTGCACGCGCTGTCGGCATTGGGCATGAGCAATTGTCGAGATTTTCCTCCATTATTGGACTCCCAAAGCCAATGCACCACCGAGGATTTTTTTCGATAGCAAAGAAGGAGCACACCGCTGCAATGGCAGCTGTGAGTGAAAACTTGCGCCGATCCAGAGAGTTGACGAAAGAAGTAGCAGGCGAAACTGATGTGGCTGTTATGTTCGACGGCACTTGGCAGAAGAGAGGCCACAAAAGCCACAACGGGATTGGCGCAGTTATCTCCTTAGATACTGGCCTCTGCTTAGACTTCGAGGTCATATCAAATTACTGCCTGACATGCAGTAGGCACAAGGATTTGGGCCCAGACGAGGAAGTGTGGCAGGCATTCCATGGCCCAGTCTGTGAAAAAAATGCAGACTGTTCCTCCCATGCCATGGAAACAGAGGCTGCAATGCGCATTTGGCAGAGAACATTGACTTATGACACCCCACTGCATTTCATGACATTCTTGAGTGACGGTGACAGCAAAGCATATAGTGCAGTTGCAGAGTCAAAAGTCTATGGTGCTGTCAATATAGAAAAAGAAGACTGCACTAATCATGTGGCCAAGAGACTTGGCACCGCGCTACGGAAGCTGCATGTGCCATTACCACGAGGGCAGAAAATGAGAGCCAGCCATTCAGAAGCTCCAAACATACTATCAGATTGCCATAACAAGCAACAGGGGGAGTGTACGGGATATGTACACTGCAGTATGGGCTTCGTACTTCCACTCATGCTCTACTGACAATGCTGGCAGCCACAAGTTTTGCCCTGCAGGAACAGAGTCGTGGTGCAAACATCAACGCGCTGAAACACTTGGTGAACCTGCACCATGCCACACACCTCTCCTGACAAAAGCACAGGGATTGGCTGTTCTGCCCATTTATAAGCGGCTAACGGATGAGAAGCTCCTTGCTCGATGCATCAAAGGGAAAACCCATAACGCATCGAAATCCCTGAACAGCAAAATTTGGCTACTTTGCCCCAAGACTAAGTTTGTCTCCCAAACGGTTGTCGAGACTGCCCCAGCTATGGATGTCCTGTGGTTCAACAAGGGTCATGCTACTTTCGAGCACATCCTGGAAGAGCTCAACATACTGCCATCTAGAGATCTAGTTACTTTCAGTGATTCCCGCGATGTGAGGCGCATCAAGACAATGTCCGAGCGTCTGACAGCAGAAGCAAGGGCCCACCGTCGTCGTGGAGTGAAAAGGGCACGGCTAGAAGAGAGTGCTCGCAAGGACCGTGAGGGCACATCCTATGCTGCAGGACAGTTCTAGTAACTTGCAGTGCTTTTCAAAGTTCTGTTGAACATTATGGCCAAAGATTATGCATTTCTAACAACTCTGTGATAAAAAAAAAAAAAGTTTCAAACTTTCAAATGCGTTTTTCTCCTTTTGCAGTTTTGTGTGATCTGTGCTTCTTATACACGCTAGTTCGTATACTTAGAATTGTCATACCTCTATGAAATTTTGCACAGAGCATGATGAAGGCCCATAGAGTGCAAGTATCTATTCAGATTGTCAGTGCTGCTTGATTATGTTTTTCAAAAATTACATAACATTGAAAACCCTTGGCAACTAGAGCCATAGTAAATTTTTCTATTTTATTATTGTATTTCACCTTTTTACACACAAAATTTATATAGTTTTTTGCACTCTAAAGTTCCAAAGGATCATAGTCAGCTATATCTGCATGCTTTATCTCAAATTTTTATAGGTCAGAATTGTTGCATAACAATGGCCATAATTTTTCAGTATCTGACCTGCAGAAAGAAAACCAAGCAATCTACATGAAAATAAATGACATATTTGAAAAGAGGAGAAAAAACTCTATTAGCATGCCAATTTGTGTTAAATTCAGACTCTTATTAAAGAAAATCGTTTTTCGAGTAGCATTTCCCCTTTATATACAAATTTTTTTCTAATTTATAATGTGCCTTTGTGTCAAATCCTATACCAGGCCTATATCGAATTATGTCATATATCGAACTAACAAACGCTTTTTGGCGAGTTCGATATACCCGGGTTCGATTGTACTAGCAATTCAAGAGGAAAATACACTTTCTGAATACTCGAGACATCCTTTGTTGATCCACAACTTATGAAGTCATGTTGCAAACAATGACACTAAGTACCACATCGTTACTCGCACATACCTCTTTGTTGCTTTTGCTGCTGTGGTAATTTTGCACCTTCTCTTCAGCAGCTAGGTGCAGCAACGCATCATCTACGCTTTTAAATCCATCCTGCAATAATACAAAAGTGAAGCATACGTCACTATTTCAGTAAGCAGTCATGCCATACTGTGAACTAGGTTACAGCAATAAATACCATCAAGCATTAGAGTCTTGTGCTCAGTAACATGTCAATACATACCTGCCGGGAAAGCAACACAACTACATAATAAAAAGGTAATGCACAGCCACAACCAAGTAAAGTTACACCAGCCTATAACACCTCCATATACCGAATTCGTTAATATTAAAATGTTCTTTTTTATTTCTCACCGTTACTCCATAGAACTGCATGTATTTGCGACCTCTATGTAACTAAGTAACGCCGGGAGACACCCTTGATACAAAGAATTTTTGCAACGAACAACCTAGGTATTTTGCCCCGGGTTTCGGCATTTTGGCATGAGCAAGCATTTTCTGTGGTTGCCCCGCCGAAACTGGCACGCTCATGGCGCCAGCGGCTTCCAAGCGAAAGCAACTGTTCAATAGCGCGCGCAGGTGTGCGCAAGGTGGCAGGCGGGCGTGCACCCCTTGAGCTTGCCAGTGGGTGCAGCAAATTACAGAGCGTGCATGGCTCCTAGATAGATTCGAAGATGTTGACAACTGCGTTTGAAGAGCAGCTATGTTTTTTTGGAGGCTCAAATGCCTCGCCGGTTATGCTTGCCGTGCTCTGCAACAGCTCTTCCCCAGATCGCGGTGGATGACAGTCTATGGCACAGCGCTATTAAAGCAGACAGTGCGTGTGGGCATATTATCAATTTGGAGTTGTTACGGAACATAGCAGCGACGGCAAAAACCTTCAAGTGTGCATATGATTGCAATCGCAATAAAAATGCAGCTTTTTTATAGCTAAACAAGTCAGATGAGCTCTGCATTCAATTCTTGTACATATCTCTAACTTTCGTGAACCAGCATATAACAAGTTACTCTGAGAATCAGTCAACTTAGTTATATCCAGGTTTAGCTCTGCAGTCAAATCTCATAAGCATGTACCTACTTTCAATGTACCAACGCACGTAGTTGCAGGCAATCTCAGACAAGAGTTTCAGAGACCAATGCATTCGCAAAGTGTTAAGCCATACTGGTTCATCTTACACCTACTGTTTAGTGCGTACCAAATGCATACAGCAATACCACTTTACACCATTAATGTGTCCAGCACCGCTGAACTTGCAGATGCCACAATGTGCCACAAACCTTTTTATGTAATTAGAATAACTGGACAATTGGCCAATCAACTATTCCAACTTTAGCGTAATTGCTGCAGTGCCTTTGCAAGTAATAATAAGGGGGAAAATGAAGGTGAGGCGGTGACAATGAACAAACACATGGTATAACTAATCGCCGACAACACCTCCTCTCACAATAAGCAGTTGCAGCTATCTGCTCAGTCACGCATATGAACTTGCACCACGTGCAACAAAGCTTACTGCAAGCTTTCAATAGGCGACTACCTGAAATTGTTGGGCCGCCGATCGCTGCTGCACCACAGCATTCAAGCTTGCACCACTTTCCGGAAACGCAAGCAGCTCGCTGTTGCGAAGTTTATTATTACGGGCACAGAGAAACCTTTCCGTGTTGCTGCAAATATGCGCATGGTACAGGAAGGGCAGTGCTGTTTTAGCCATGCTGCACAGTAATATTACGGGTGTACTGGCATGAAATTTTTCATTTATTGTTTTCTTGCGTGTGTGAAATGATAGGCCAAGTGCCCGAGAGCATAGGAAATGGACTGGTAAGCGTGAGTGTTCCCAGAAAATTTAATTACAGCATGCTTTTAAAAGCTAGATTAGGTTCCTACTGTACCCTGACGTTGCGACATGGTATGAGCAGTGCCCCCAGGCAGTAGTATGTGCATGCGAAAGTTTTTGACGGCGACCTAGCAGCATGAAAATTCGGGAGACTGCAGCGAGAGAGGGAGGAGAGAGTTCTTTTTTTTTTGTGTGTGTGTGTCTGTGTGTGTATGTGTGTGTGGATTACCGCGGCTGAGACATTTGTGACACGCTGTCGCTTCCACCCACTGTGATTGCAAAAGCATGACGTTTCAGAGCCTCCACTTCAGTGTATTCGGCCTCTGCAGGCATTTCCTGGACAACAGTTTGTTTTCGTACGTCCGCACCCACACCGCTTCGCGTCCTCGCCCTTCGGGAACATTTTCCGAAGCAACAGTTCTGCATGATCCCTAACGCTTAGTGGCAAGTTGTGTTCCACATGAAATTTCGTAAAGAGGCATTCCGTGCGCATTGAACTTCCTACGCACTTCCTTTAGCACAAACTTCGGAAGTTGCCCAACCTTGCCGTAGTTAAACATAGTTCTGATGATTCTGTAAAGCAATGTGCACCTTTATGATGGCCTTGCCGCTGTGCGAAATGCTTACATCACAGGTGCACGTGGTAAAGAATCCGTATGTGCCACTTTACTGCTAAGTCGCAAATCATGGAAACTCAGCTGTGAACCAGTCGAAAAACACTTGCAAGTACTTCTTTGCTATTGAAACCGCCATAAACATTCTAACGAACTTTGGAAAATGCGCACCCCCACCCTCTCCCCAACAACATATCAAACAAAACTGACACCTGGGCGGGCGGCGTAGGCCTAGTGTACAAAATGCAAAGGCGAAGACAGAGACGGACACAGAAATTCCAGTACCTTTTCCTTCGCCTTCTTTTAGTAAGGTGGCAAGAGATCTTGCGGCCGCCGGGCTTCGCCCAGATGCACGATGCTATAGTGCCTAGAATTCACCTGGCAGTACTCTACGATATGGTTACAATGAACTACAGAAATGAGTGCTTTTACACAGTGCCGCAACTGTCGCATCTATGGTACGTGCGTGATCACACAGGGTGTCTACAAATTTGCTTTTTCAATATTCCCCGACCTTTCCCGGTTTTCCATGATAATTTAAAGCAAATTCCATGACCGTTCGAACTTCTTGGAAAACTGTGCACTGCAAATAGACCCTAGAGTGGTGACAAAATAGGACAATCCTATAGTATAAGTAAATAAATGTACCGCATGTGCCTAGAATGTTCAGACTGTGTGCGCTTACATCTGCTTGTAGCTGGAATACCAGCACACACAGACAACTGCACTTACGCTGAACAAGAGTGATGGGACGCTTTCGACAATGTAGTCCCGGTGCCTACGTCACGTACTTAGGTGTAGCTAAACAACCTGTGGTTTTCCTATGGCTACAGCAAAAGCTTGTTAATTCGAACCGCAAGGGGAAGCCGCCTCAGTTCGAATTAACGAAAGTTCGAACTAACAAAAGTGAAGCACAACAATAGTACACTGCGAGTGGGCATAACAATTCATTTTTTGACAAAAATCTGCTATCGTGGTCTGCCTTCTTTCCTTGAAGGCGGCAGCCAGCACTTTTTGCTTTAACGAGTGAATTTGGCGGAAAGCCTCTTCTCCGCCTTCTTCAAAACTTAGAATCTTCAAAACTTAAAGGGGGACGCGGCACTTAAAAGTCGAAAATCGGCCAAAAAATCGCATTTTCTCTCTCATCATTTTCGCGCTCCCGAGGCCCTTCTGCATCTATCAGCAAATTTTGGCTTCGAAATTCTATTTATTTCCAGAGTTATAAGAGATAAAAAGAGCAACTACGCACAAGCGGACCTTTAAATTCAAGTCTGAACTAGCCTTACTTCAACCGCCAACAGCACGCGAACTACGCGCTCCAACAGCGCCATTTTGATCTTGTTTGAAAGGTCGCGTTTCCAGCTTTTCTCTTGTTTTCAATAAGCAACCATGTGCCCCACGTGGAAGCGAAAAAAAAAAAGCAAAGCAAAACCACGTGCTGCACGCGACTTCATTGGTTGCCTGACGCACGCGACCAAAATGGCGTTTCTCGATTAGCCAGGAAAACTTGATGGCAGTGTCAGCCGCGATTTTGAAAAGGTATCGCTCTTGCGATGGTGTCTTATCGCTAACGTGTTCATGCAGTCAGTGTGCTAGAATATTTTAGTGCGGTTCGCTATGCCCGGCGGTGCGAAAAAGTTCCGGTTGAAGCATCATTTTGGCCGTTCACGGAAGAAAGGCAGGTGCAGAAAGCCCAAGGGTGGGTGCTGCTACTGCATCGCGGGAGCAAGCGCCGACATTGCCTGATAACGACGACGTGGCCGTAGACGATTCCTCGTGCCAGCGCGGCGTGGACACTGGCCGCACGAGTACTGACGTTATCGTCAACAGAGGAAAACGCGAGACGGGTTCCCCGGATAGCGTACGCTCTGTGGACTATGACCGCGCCGATGCTATCGGGAACGGAGAAGAGCGCGTAGACATGCGCCTCCCTGACAGCATGCGCGATGTCGACTCCGGCCGTGTGACGGTAGACGCTGATGTGATCGGTGCCAGTGAAGTGCGCGAGGCGGAATAAGGAGGAGGAATAAGAGGAGCAATAAGGATGGGATGCATCCAGATTATGCCCCTGGTGCATTTTCTTAAGCTTTTATAGGTATTTTTCCAATAAATATGTTTTGCAATGTTTTTCCTTGTTTTCTCAAAACAGCAATTTTGACACATTTGTCACAATGGAGGATAAATAGCTTCTGTTCTATTTGAGCTATCAGCATAAATTTTGTTTTGCCAGAAAGATAAATGCATGCAGTAAGCAATATGCCTATTTTCAAGGCAATTTACATTTCACAAAATTTTTTATATGGGTCACATGTATGGTATATGACAATGGCGTTTTTTCTGTAAACATTGTTGACCTCCAACTCTTGTTAAAATTCGCTTAGTAAATTGATTTATAGCATCTTGCTATCCTTGAACATCCTACATTGTTTCAATACTGTAACCACAGTATTTGGGTTTTCTGATCAGACGCTAATTTTGCTCCAAACAAAGGACCCAGCTTATGCAATGATAGCACGGTATATTGGGAACTACTAGCCCTACCACAAAAGTACATTTTTGGAATCTGCACATCAAAATACACAAACTGTGAAAATTTGGTTCAGATCTATCCATAAATAAATAAGTCGCTTTTCAAGTGCAGCTTCCC